GGTTAGAGTGGGGGCTGAGAGCCGAGGGGTGTGGGGGCTGTACCCCCCCACACATCTGTCTCCCCCCTGCAGGATGCGGACGACCCCCCCCTGCGCTGCTTCCACCCCGGCTGCCCCCTGGCTGCCCACCCCGCCTGCCTGGCGCGGGAGTTCCTGCGGGAGGAGCCGGAGCAGATCCTGCCCGTGGAGGGGCGCTGCCCAGGGTATGGGGCCCGGGGGATCCCCTGGGGGAGGGGGGATCTCCAGGGAGGGCAGGGATGGGACGCAGTTGCCCAGGGCAACATCCCCAGCATGTTGCCTTGGCGACCCAATTCCCATGGTGAAGGCCCCCCCCATTTCCTGTTGCAGCTGCAAGAACCTGCTCCTGTGGGGCGACTTGATTCGCTACCACCAGGGTTGCTATGGTGACTTGGAAGAAGTCCCTGCCTCCTCCCAGGTAAGCCCCGCCCACTTGCTGCTAAGCTCCACCCCTCGTGTGTTCCCCTTTGGCACAAGAGTCCCGCCCATTGTGTGGGCCCATCGGGCTTCCCTCTTCTGTCCCCGCCCCTCTTGCCTTTAACCCCACCCCTTCCCTGTGCCTGCCCCTCACTGACCACGCCCCCTCTCGCAGGTAAGCCCCGCCCCCATTCTCTCCCCTCCCTTTTCACAGTGTCTTGCTGCTAAACTCCCCTTCTCAGGCAGACAAACCCCTGCCCCGCCTCCCTTTGTAGCCCCGCCTTAGGGCAGCTAAGCCCCACCCCTGCATCCTGTCCCCGCCCCCTCACGGGGAAGCTCCTCCCTCTCTGACCCCCTCCTGCCCACAGGGACACTGGACAGAGGAGCTGCAGACGTGAAGACCAGAGGGGAGGAGCCTGCGCTGGAGGGGGCGGGGCAAAGGACCGGTCCCCTTTGCCCCACCCACCGGGACGATGGACCCGCCCCCTCCTGGACCCCGGGGGGCCCAGGGGATAATTATGGGATTACATGAAATAAAAATCTCAGGAGATTCGAGTCCCGGCTCTGCCTGACACGGGGACGGACCCAGGCGTCCGGCGAGGGAGCCCAGCAGGGGGGACAGGGACAGGTGGGGGAGGGGCAGAGTGGGGGAGGAGCCCCAGGCTTTCGGTGGAGGATGCTGGAACCTTTCCCTCCCGCCCTGAAGCCAGGCGTCCGAGTACTGAGCTGTGGGGGGGCCCATGGGGCACAGGGACCCCTCCCCCCCCAGTGAGCTCCGGGAATGTATGACCTGACCAACCTGCAGCCCCTGACACCGGCGTGGGTGGGAGGGGACCGAGGTGTGTGGGGGGAGAACAAGGATGGGGAAGCGGACCCAGACGTCTGGGCATCGGGGGAGGGGGAACAGGGATGCGGAAGGGGACCCAGGCGTCCGAGCGGGAACAGGCATGGGGAAGGGGACCCAGACGTCCGGGCGGGGTGGGGGGAAACAAGGATGGGGAAGGGGACCTAGGCGTCCGGGCGTGGGGGGTGGGACAAGGATGGGGAAGGGGATCCAGGCGTCCAGGGCGGGGGGGAACAGGGAAAGGGATCCGGGCGGGTGGCGGGGGGGG